AATTAATTTGTTTTTTTATCACAATGTTTAATCTCATTATTTCTAGACATAGAAAAAAAAAAGGTGATTGGTCTCAAAACTCATTGCAAATAAACTCATCTACGTGAGGTAATGGGCCACAACTCCTAATTAATTACTTACTAGTAGATAGATAAAGTTTGGTGAAATGGAGCAAACACAAGCACTACGGCCGGCATGCGGTGGTGGAGTGGTGGCGGCACGGCGGAGACAAGCATGCAACAAGGGAGCGTGTTTCTTGTAAGAACAAACACGTGATTGTCAGAACTAAAAAAGGGACCCATGTTTTAAGCCAAAACAATTCAATGAATCGTGGTTTTTCGTGTCTTCATTTAGCCGCATTTTTTCTTTTATTAATATATAAATAAATAAATAAATAAATTAATTAATTAATTAAAAAAAAAACACAGAAACATAAGCCTGATAACAGGTAGTGTGGTTCCACGACTCTTTTATGATATCAGATTTCAGGTTAGTGCTCTTGTAGTTGTTTGCCATGACGAATAGTGTTGACCGTTGACTATTTCCACGCACAGCCATGCATTTCTGCCACCCCTTTTATTTTATTTTATTAATTTATTTATTCTTTGTTTAATTAAGCCCTGCGGGGTTTAAAATAATATTAGATTCTTTAGCTAGTGTACAAGTTAGTAAAACTTTAATTTTAACAATATTTTTTTTTAATTTATTGAAACTATACTATAAAAAAAAACAATGAATGATCCGTCATTTAAATATTGCTAAGTACTTCATTAAGGTGCTGTTTATAAGTTTGTTGCTTTATGAACTTTAAATTTTAACTAATTATTTTGTGAAATATCTAAAATGTCTTTATAGACTGATCAATTTAGATAAATTAACAAGGGATTATAGGAAAACCCCTCATAAAAAACTAAATTAAAAAGCTTATTTAAACTAAAAAAATCGAACATACAAATAAAACGAAAATTAATAAAAAAAAAAATATAAAAACAAAGAAATTCAAAAAGATACTAAATTTGGGTAATTTAAATATTCCGCAGTTCAAGGGGTTATCTGAAATATGAGATTTAAATTTGAATTTATTTCTATACTTACATTCAATGAGGAAGTTTTATCGAGTAGCCCCAAATAACACTGATACAAATATCCAATGTTATTTTAAGATCGAAAACTTATTGCAGAATTTTTATTTTCTTTTCGAAATATTAACTTAAAAAAACTTATTTTAACATATATATAAATATAAACTGCATTAGTAGATATACTTTGAAATAGATTATTGAGATTATAACAAATATTCATAACCTCTATTTTTAAAAGCTTTGGAAACGGTCACTAGGATATAGCCTTAACTGTATATTATTATGATTTATGATATATTAGCCAACTGTTTATTAACATTTGAGAATTGGGTTTTGAAATTTAAAATTAGTTAAACTTTATTTCAACGCGTTTCATCCAAATTTCCAACAGAAATAGGTAACATAATCATGGCACGTCGATACAAACCTAAGCATTAGGTTATATTAATTTATGCAATTAATTATATATCCACAACCCGCACGATGCTTACTGCACTAAAAGGCGAAAAATCTCTCGCCCATAGGATCTCGATAATTTTTTTTATGAACGAACATAGATTATGGCGATTTATCGGTCTCATTAGGATAGCAGACCTGAGTCTGGTACCTACAAGAAACTGATTATTTACTGCATATTTTTAGTCGCTCGTTTGGTCACATAACAAGTATATATCCCAAATCACTCAAATAAGAAAATTGCATTTTTCGTCTTTCAAGTTTATCTTAGTTTCACATTTGGTCTCCTTATTAACAAATAACAGATTTAGTCCCTCATATTTTAATAGTTTAACATTTTTGGTTATTTTCGTTAGTACTAACGGAATCAAGCACATGTTCATCCCTCTCTTAACTGACGAACTAACAACAAATTGGCGAAAATTACAAAAAATATCAAATTGTTGAAACATGAGGGATCAAATGTATTTTTTATAAACATAGGAGATCAAATGTGAAACAAATGCAAACTTTAGGGAGGAAAACTGTATTTTTCCCTCACTCAAATAAAGTTATCTTATTATCCTAATTATTCCGGTTAAACAACCACCTCGAAGTTTATCCTATAATCCCGTTCGAAAAAAATAGAAATAATAGCATTTATTATATAAAATTATGTGTATTCTTTTTTTTTTAGCTTTTAAAACAATATTTGAAGTTTAGTGTGATATTAATATAAACATTTAACATCCTAATTAAGCTTAAGCCAGCCCAAAATTGTTATTATGTTTTCCATTTAAAAAAAGAATGATGCTCTTTTGTATTCTTGATAAAAAGAAGCCAGGTAGTAAAAGAAAAACAAAGGAGTTCGTTATAAGCAAGTGGTCCGATCCGAGAAAACAACAAGAAAATCCGGCCGAAAACGACGGGCAGGCAAACAAGAGAAAAAGCCGATACGGGCGGTGTTGTCACGTGCACACGTCATCATTTTTGGTCGGCAAATTTCTCCCATTTAAACCTAAAAAAACACCCCTCTTAATTACCGCCATAATTTATTACTTATTAGTAGGCCCCACCAAGCTTTAGGTAGATTCACCCACCCTCACATGCCTTTGTACTAAAAACTTCTATTTCAAAATTAGGTTTGGAAATTTTTGTTGCCTCCTTTGTTTCTCCCAATTTATTTCTTTGCTACAACGAATTACGAATTAATTACATCGGGTATATCATTACCATCGTGTGTTCACACACAAGTACTTGTTTTCATTTTCGTATGTAAATTGAATGGTAGATAATATATTAATAGAAAGAGAAGTTACTATCGTCAATAATAGGAAAACTAACATCACAAAAACAAAAACTGCATGCCCAAGCGCCCGAAAAATAAGCACACGTATTTGCGCTCCTCGAAACAAATTTGAACCTCGAGTTTGGCCAAAGACCCGAGAATCGTCGAATACGTTCAATATAAACTTTAGTTGTCCAGTTCAGATCTTCAGAATCTGAATTGATAGTAATAGCTTCAAGGCAATCGGATTCCAAGATCCTTCATAAGCTTTAGTGAGCTCATTTTCCTCTCACATGGTGTGGAAAATCCAAGATAAATGATTTTAACAAAATCATATGGTCATAATTTATGTACATAATTTGAAATTAAATTCGTAGATCTATTTTATTATCATTTCAAAACCTTATATTCAAATGACCCCAACAATTACTTTTTGCGGCTAACAAATTAGATGTGTGCACCAGATAAATCTCGCTCTTGTACAATAGCATATAAATAACACGAAAAGGTGAGCAAGTTCCGTACGGTGAATTTAGTCTAGAAAATAATGACAAGAAAATCAAATTAAAATCGTTACACACTAAACCGTCATTATTCCACCAACTAAACCACTTTTACACGATGAATAAGATCATTCTTGAAAGTACTAAAATGCATTTTACTTGGAAAATAAGGCTACAAAAAGCAATTTACGTTATAAAAAATCCAAAAGAAATGGGATGTAATTGAGAAAATAAGGAACAACAAAGTGAAATAAAGATACTATTGTCGAGATGCCGGTCACTCCGGGCAGCTAATACGGTCAATTATACCCCATGTGACAGGGAGGATGCCTTTGTTTTAGAGGCGTGGGCCTCGATATTGTATGTACGGAGAAATCAAATTAAAAGCAAAAAAATAAAATTGTATTATTTATTAATCAATTAATTAAAATCTATATATAAATAGTCGCACTTCAGGAGAGTTAGAGCATGCAGTTTTGTGTCAAATGTTTTAGAGAGAGAAAGAGAGAACAATTACAAAAGCGAACAACAACAACAAGAGAAAGAGATCTTAGAGAGAGAAAGAGGAGAGAGAACACGAAAATCTTCAGAGTTTGAAATTTGCTGTGTCTGATAATAGAAGAAGTATGGAGTGGCCAACGTTGGATGAATATGAAAAGCTTCTTATTCGAATGTCTACCCCTAGGTCAGTCATTCATTCCTCTCTCTCTCTCTCTCTCACTCTCACTGTGTGTTCTGTGTGTGATTTTCTCTCACTTCTTTTGCTCTGTTTGGATTTCTCCCTCTCTGTCAATTACTGGGTTTCATAAATTTTCATTTAAACCCCTCAATTTTTTTTTTGAAATTTTTGAAGGTTTTTCTTTTTAATTTTTTGGGGGAAATTAATCTGACTCTTTTACGAAATTTATGTTTGCTACTGAAATCAGTAATCTTGTCTTGAAATTTAATTTTTTTTCCGGTCCCTGTAAAACGTGGTATTTCAATTTTCACCCCCCAAAATTTCTTGGTATTTTGGGAAGTTCCGAAAATGCCCTTGTTCTCACTGTTGCTCCGTCGACATCTTGCAGGGTCATGATCGACAACGCCGGTTGTTCCAATGCTACCCGAGTCATGGTATACATCATTTGTCAAATTAAATTTGACTCGATCAATAAAATTGATTTTAATTTTTAATTAATTAATTTGTTTTGACAGATCGATAGCGCAAGAAAACACGGTATCCTTCTCGAAGCTGTTCAAGTTTTGATGGATTTGAATCTGTCAATCAAGAAGGCTTACATTTCTTCCGACGGTCGGTGGTTCATGGATGGTGAGTGTCTTTCACGCGCCGCCGTATTTGGTGCACGTTAGCATCCAGCTTTTCACAGTCTGCATATAAACTTGCTGCCGCTAATTTTAACGATTTTTCCATTTTGAATATGCAGTTTTTCACGTGACTGATTTAAACGGAAACAAATTAACCGATGAGAGCGTCTTCCGTTACATTGAGCAGGTAATTTTTTTTTTCTCTTAGTACCCCCTATGTTGTTTCAAATTGCTAAAAACCCCACCCCATGTTATTTAATTGACAAACAACCCCCAATAATTTAGTTTTGTAAGCAATAGTACCCCCGTTAAAGGGGCTTTGTGCTAAAAAAATTGAATCATAGGATAGTTTCTTAGCAATTCGATATAACACAGGGGTACTGATTGCAATAAAACCCTAATTTTTAATTTCATTTTAATTTATTTTTGGGTGGGATTATTAACATGTTTTCGATATTTCAATTGCAGTCACTCGAGACGGTGCATTACGGAATATCCAAAAGCTTCGAGGGCCTAACGGCTCTAGAACTAACCGGAACCGACCGAGTCGGCCTGTTATCGGAAGTCTTTGCAGTACTATCAAATCAGCACTGCACGATTTCCGACGCAAAAGTGTGGACCCACAACGGCCGAATCGCAGCCCTAATCTATCTCAAGGACAACATTTCAGGCTCGTCGATCGACGACTCGGATAAGTTAGACGCGATCGAGACGATGCTGCGGAACGTTCTGAAGGGCGACAACGACATTCGGAGCGCCAAAACCTCCGTCTCGTTCACGGTTACGCACACCGAGAGGAGGCTCCATCAGATGATGTTCGCCGACAGGGATTACGACAGGAAGTCTGTGATGAATACGCGTGGCGAATCGGCCGTTATTTCGGTGCAGAACTATCTGCAGAGGGACTATTCGGTTGTGAATATTCAGTCGAAGGATCGGACGAAGCTTTTGTTTGACGTGGTTTGCACGTTGACCGACATGCAGTATGTTGTTTTTCATGCCACCGTCGACACGTCAGGAGATAGAGCAACCATGGTATATATTTATACATATATGTATAAATAAATACGGGTCTATTGCACTGTGTTATGTCGAATTGCTAAACAACTACCTTATGTTATTTTATTGGCAAAAATGCCCCTGTGGTTGAATTTGTTTTAGCACACAACCCCCTAAACAAGGGTACTAATTGCTAAAAAAAAAATCCCAGGGGTTTTTTGTCAATAAAATAATATGGGGTGGGTTTTTAGTATATAGATATAACATAGGGGTACTAATTGCAATAAACTCATTTATTATTGTTGTTCATATGATGTAAGAAGTGAAAAATGTGCTTTAATGATGGATTTTTTTTTTCTTTTTTAATAGGAATTCTTCATTAAACACATGGATGGATCACCGATTAGTTCGGAAGCTGAAAAGCAGCGTGTGATTCTATGCCTACTTGCTGCAATCGAGCGGAGGGCATCTGAGGTAATATTACGTTCCGTGTTTAGGTTTTATTCGGTGTTTCCTTTTTTTAAAATTTTTTTTTTAATTGAGGTTGTCTAAATGAAAGAGAATATTCTTGTGTGATGACAGGGTGTGAGGCTTGAGCTTTGTACATCGGACAGAAAAAATCTCTTGGCGGATGTTACTAGAACCTTCCGCGAGAACGGCTTGAACGTGACGAGGGCAGAGATATCCACAAGAAAGGACACTGCACTCAACGTGTTCTACGTGACGGATGCTGTCGGGAATCCGGCGGATTCGAAACTTATCGAGTCCGTTCGACAAAAGATCGGGTTGAGCGATTTGAAAGTGAAGGAGTTGCCGTTGATCTATCATCAAGCGGTCGAAAGGGCGGGGCCCACCACGATGGGTAGTGGCGGGGCCATGCTGCTGTCACTCGGTAGCATGGTGAAAAGGAATTTATTCAACTTGGGATTGATCAAATCGTATTCTTGATTTTCAAATAACTCCCAAATGGGTTGGATTCGAAACCGGTCGCAATTAACTTGAAAACGAGAGCCGGGTTCTTGGATTTGTCGTCAGTCGAATCAAATCCTGCGATCCAAACGGCATATTCTTCGCGCTTCGGGGAGTTGGACGAATGAGCTGGACACTTGTACATAGTAGATGGAATTTAGTTGGGGGTTGGTTGGTTGGATTTGCATAGTTAATTAATCACATAGTACACACACATTGAAGGTGGATGATATGGGGGGCCACCTCCCCCACTAATTTTTCTTTGGGAAGAGTAGAATTAGTGTAAGAAGACACGTGATATGTTTTGTACATACATAATTCTTATTTCTTGAGTTTTAAATTCTATTGTCTAAAATTTATTTAATTTTTTCCCTTGATTTCCGGAATGGTGGAGGGTGTGTTTGTTTCCTTATTATAAGCAAATATAGTTGGAGCATTATACAGTTGGCAAAACAACTTTTAAGTTGAAGTTGATTTTTGTTTGACTTTTTTGGTTGAAAGTGATGTATAGTAGGAATTTATTGGGTGATATATTTGAAGTTTGAACACTTGGAGTGCAAGGCTGCAACTGAAATTGACAGCATTCCCACTCTTCAAATTGAAAAATGAGGCCTCGTATATTAAGTTGTTGTGGTAGATTGTCTATTCCACCTGCCCCATATTTTAGATATTAAATTTATTGGGTATGCCTCAACTATACATTTATACATATATTAATCATATATGTACGAATGTATATATAAATATAATATTTGTAATAAAATATTTATTAAGTATGAATTGGTCGGTAATCCACTCTCCATCGTTCAAGTCAAATATAAGACGTGGAATGAAATATATCAATCATAATGTAAAAATGTAGCGACGCACAATTTATTGAAATTCATCCAAAATGAGACTTGAAAATAAATAGAAATTGATGACAAAGGCGCACCTAATTGAAGGAATCTCAACCAATCATATAGGTGCACTGGGTAAACCTATACTTGCGTATAATAGCTTGTAAATTATACGAAAGACGTAAACCGCACTAGGCTAACCATGTGTGACAAACTCCACTTAGCGACTGAATCAATCGACACAGGCTCACTTGCTCTAATCGTTAGGCCATCCCTTGCGGGACTTGGCTGGATTAATTGTGAAACGAACATGTGATGTGTGGGTTACGTACAATTGACACAGTTATTTCCTAGCATTTTTTTTTTCTGTTTAGAAGGTCGATTTTTAATAGGCCGAAAACAATTAAAGAAATAAGATTGAACATATATTTCTTTACTTTTTTTTTTTCCTTTTCTAAATGAGTGTTAGGTTGTATCTTGTTCCACACTGGAATGCTTATACGTGAAATGAACATCCTTTCTCATTAAGCTAGCTTTTGAAGATGATTTCTGCGCAGACCCATTTAACAACTAGAAGCTCTTAAATATAGTATGATATCCATCTTCATTTAAGTATATGTCAATTCGATTTGAAATCAAATATGATTTTTGATGCTAGATAACAAATAAGAAAGAATAATAACTAAGAAACATGGTTAAATACAAATTGCATCCGTGTATTATCATCAGTGTTGATATACCTTACAGTACTACAAAATGCGACAAGTGATCTCTCAACTTAACGCCAACCCTCAAATCTCTTACACTGTTAGTTTATGTAGCGTAGTTACCTTTTATCCTTACATTTATATGATATAAATAGTCATTTTTCACTTTATTAGTTAACCAATTTTTTTTACTTTATTACGTAGCATTCCGGTTGCATCGACACGTAATTGTAGAAAAATATTCCATATAGTGTTTTCGAAGTAACAAAATAACAAAATTTCCTAAATTTAAAAGAAAATTATAAATAATTTTCACAATATAATTTTTTTCAGAAATTTTTAAGTTGTGGAAAATTGAATAGGGAAGAAACATGAAAAAAAAGGGGAGTAAATTGAGTACAAGACAGAAAGAAAGAGGCATAACTTTTATACACAACCAGATGAGCATATTCGTCAAAAATTATCCAACATCTAGTACAATGGTCGGCCAACTTAAAAAATTGATGGATTCTTTAACATGTTTTAACGGGAGGGGCCATTTTATCACATTTTCTAGTACATGAAAATATATGCGACACTGATAATAATACATGGTGCAATTTGTATTTAAGCCTAAGAAATAAGAAATGTTTGGGCGTAGTTATTTAAAATAATTTGTCGTATAGAATGTTTTGATCAATGCTAAAAACGAAGAAACAAAGTATAGAGATTAAATTGTTGGATACCACGTCTAACTAGAATTTGTGTTCTTGTATAGATTCTCAAAATTGGTTTTTGTCCGTATTTTGGTCCAACACATTAATTTGGGTTTAAAATTAAACATTTGTCATTATCTTAAGCACCAGTCAAATTATGCTGAACCCACTAATTTAATTCAATAGTTTTGCCAATATGCCAATTAATAAGTTAGACTCGACACAAATAAAAATGATGACCAATTATATTTATGTGTGCTTTAATTTAATTTGGATTTACATAGCTAAAGGTTCTTCTTACATTCTTGTCAACTTAGTTTTTGTTTCTTAAACAAGGGAATATTAAGTTTTTGATAACAATATAATTTGTCGACTTGTAGCACATAAAATTTGACCACAAAATTGTAGTTAGGCCTGCAAAAACAAATATAAATAATCTTGTTTCCTTCACTCATAAATATATTCAAATATATATATTTTACACACATCACACGAGTTTATATGCTCATTTAGTTTATATAATAAGGGATTGATTTTACCCGACAAACAATCTATTTTGTATATATAAATTTCGCCCCGTAATAAACCTTACGTTAGAGTCGAATCAATAAATTAAATCGGCCGTATGTATAGTACAACCGTTTGGTAGTTGCAACCATCTTAAATAGTCAATTGAACGATATGTAATACCAGCTAATATGAAGTAATATATACTACATGCAAAACAACAAGTGTACAACATCGTGTTTTATAAAATAGTGAATTTCGTATATCATTCTTAGGAAAATATGTTCCTAAACTACCAAGTGTTATATTATACTAATATCCTAAACTTTATCTAATGGGTCGAATTATCCTGGGATAAAATATTGCAATAGCGAAATTTGTTAGAAAGACAAATTGATTTCGTGAGAATACAAAACACATGTAAACAAGCAAGATAAAACAATTTGGAGTTGAATTCACCTAATTATCCCCTATGTTAATTTACACAACCAATATTGATATGTCTAATTGGGCCAACCCAGTGGGCCTATAATTTCTTTATTTACTGGGCCACGAGTCCAATATTGAAGATCACTACTACCGAGGTCCAATCACCTTCAAATAAGGTTTTGGCCCGACAATCTCAACTAATTAAACTTCAGCCCACTCAATGAGGTATAAATAAATGTTTGAATGCATTTCTTAAGGTACGTTCTATTACCCGAGCAATACTACTACATGTATTCTCTGGACTATTTCTAATGTCCACAGTCCGAACGTCTGACTTGAGCGTCGAAGGGTTTCCGCCGGATCAAGCCCGGCTTAGTTTACGTGTTCTATGATCGCAGGTATCTCAAGGCCTCATCAAGCTCGTGAGCCATTGTCCACGTTACTCGTCCAGCTCATCCTACTTTTAAGGTGATCTCATTCTAGCATCATCAAATATCTAGTTCAATTCCATAATTTATTAAACTAGAACACTAACTAATTTTAATTAATCACTATTTCAGTGTTATCAGAGTTTGATAGACAAATAGTGACGTATTTGTTCTAAAATTTTATATTAACGGAGCATTAAAAGAAGTCTCTAACCTTAAAGTGCCTTGGATTTGAATTTAAGGCAAATTTTTAAAAGTTCGGACAGAGATTAAGAAGTGTTAAGTGTATATTTTTACACTTTATCGTAACTTTTTATTTGAGCTTTTGGTGTGTTTTAACGATAATTGGTGGTTAAAAAGTTGATTTATTGTATTTTAGGTACAAATTGAAGAATTGGAAAAGTATGGGGTCAAAACTGCAATTTTGGCGAAAATATGGGTCAAAAGTGAAAATATCAAAATTCTGAAGAAACAAGGCTCGGACCCCCGTCCCAGTTTTAGGGCAAATTATGGGACCCCCGTCCCATACCCCGAAGTTGGGCAGTAAAGGGATTTTAATTGCACAAGGAAACTGCCTTCTTCCCCAAGTTCTTCACCCTATATAAGACCAAGCCAAGCACACAATTGGGGATCAACCTTTTTTACGCAATTTGGAGAGCAACAAAGCAATAACAAAGAAGAAGAATTCGAAGAATTCAAGCATAGATTTATCGTCTATGATTTATTTTATTTGTGTTTTTCCTTTAATCATGAGTAGCTAATTTTCTTATTTCTAGGATTTTATTTGGAACCCTATGTGGGGTTTATGAACCCAATTCTATGATTTTATGCAAGTTTTAATTCCGGATTATTTCTTCTTCTTGTTTTATTAAGTTCATGAAACTGGCCACTTTATGCGCTTTTATGTTATTGTTAATCGCATGAATCGGAAGATCGGGTTAATAATTAGAACTGTGGTAGAAGAGTCTTTGTGGTATTAACATAGGAATATAGTTAATCTCTTAGGTAGCCATTATTGAGATTTGTGTTTAATGTTGTGTTCTAGAATTAATTGCATAGGAATATAGTAATTGAATCTAGAGTATTAGAATCGTAATACACGCGGAAGCGGGTTATGATTATTTTAGCATCTCAGGTTAATAATCCGGGTTAATTGCTTGCATAATTGAAGGAATTGGGGGAGTAATAATCACATAGGGGGAAGAATAAAATCCTAGGCTCGTTTACTCTGATAAATCTTCGTGTTTAATTTGCTTTCTTGCTTTGTTGTTTTAATTTGCTTTTTAGTTTAATTTAGTTATTCTCTCTAAATTCGACTGTGTAGGGTGGGCTTGATAATAATTGGTAGAATTTAGCGTCTAGGATTAGATAATTAAATATTCCCTGTGGGTTCGATATCCGGACTTTTAGTCCACTATATTACTTGTACGATACGTGCACTTGCGTGTAGGTTTTCGACCAACAAGTTTTTGGCGCCGTTGCCGGGGAATATTTTAATTATTTATTTTATTCTAGCTCTAGATTTGAACAATTTTCACGATTCACCCATTTAATTTTTGTTTTATTTTTTTTAGGTACTGTGTATGCGTAGAAGACTCGATCTTGCTAGAGAACCGTTTGATCCCGAAATCGAACGTACTTTTCGAGCGGCTAGGAGACTTCAACGCGAAAACAATACAATGGAGGACGAAGAACGCAGACGGGCCGCGGGCAATTTACTCGAGGCCAACGGAAACCAAGTCCAAGACCCACCCCCTCAAATTCCAGCACAGCCGGCAGTTCGTCCACGAGCACTTCAAGACTACATAATCCCAACTCTAGACGGATTCCGCCCGAGCATCCAATATCCACCCATTGAGGCGCACAATTTTGAGATCAAG